TTGTGCCTAGAGGACAAATAAGTACATGTATGCTGGCCATTTCACATGACTGACGTCATGGCTCTGCTCATAATCATCCAAAGGTTCCCAACTGCTTTCCCTGGATCATGACATCAATAAGGCAGAAACCAGACACAAGGGTGTAACTGCTTACAGTATGCATATATTTTTTAATATGTTTGTTTTTATTATTGTAAACAACGTTACATTTCTCTTTCAAACTATTTTAAACAGTGGGATCATTTTTTCCCCACTGTTTGTGTCTAATCTGTCCCAAGGCCAAGCTAAAAATAGCATCTCTATAAAAGCCCCACCCATATATCAAGCACGCTGCGGCCCCTTGAAGGCTGGGTGTTGAATGCCCTTAGTGGGCCCCGTCCTGCTCACACATCCTGATGATAGGAACCAGGTGGTCCAAACACATCGCTGATGCCAACCTGCTTCACATTGCTGGGTCTATTTTTAAAACACTTCGGACACAAAAAGCACAATTTAAAGAACTATTCCCAATAAACTGTAGGGAAATGAGGGGGGGGGGGGCACTACTGAAAACAAACAATTATGGGGACTTTTTCCAGCTGCGTGTGGGGTGGGGTCAGAAGAAGCCCCTCAGCCGGGGGGAGCAGAGCACATGGGGATGGCCGGCTGCCTGTTGCTGCTGACCCTTGTTTAGATGTCAGAAGACTAGTTCTGAGAAGTCTGAGATGCATGAGACGTGCTTCACCCAGTTTTCAGTCCTGAAAGATTGATATCGGTGTGCCAGCATGTCCTTCTCGATTTATGTAGAAATGTAGATGTACATTCCTAAGTTTCTGTCTATTTTTAAATTGGTGTATTTTTGTTTGCGGAGGAAATGAACTAAAAAGAAAAAGGGATTTGTTTCTTACATAGGAAACAGAAACTGAATGTGACATGATAGGCTAAAGAGAATTTCTTGTTTAAGCAGCCAGAGCCCCTCGGGAGAAAAAGGCTGAAAACAGCATTGCCTTTTAAGCCCAGGAAAAACCCAGAGTGGGTGGAAGTCACAGGGTCGCTTCTGTCATCTAAATTGGGACGGGAGTCGATCCAGAATGTTTCTTAGCAACACAAAAGGCAGGCACATTGGCAATTTCCCTCTGAGGGAATGTCCCTCATAAACAGCTTTCTACAGTGGGCCAATATGGAAAATCCAGGACCCAAAAGTACATGGGACCTCCTGAACAGGAACTATTCACGATCACGCTTCTGCCTGGGCTCTTTACTCTTCTTGGTTGACTGCCATTCCCAGTGGATGTAAGAATGCAGAGCTAATCCTCCCCGGAGGGTACAATGAGGGCAGTCGGCAGTTGTCTTGTCTTTTACTCAGCCTGAGAATTACAACTCAATAAGTCTGAGACAGTATACTGGTTCACTGATGTTACCGTGTGAAGCGTTCAGCAGTAACCTCCATGTTGGGGTGCCATTGTGTTCTAAGGGACATCAGTACAGCAGCCTGATCTCAGATGCAGGGACAGCTGGGGAGCAGGCTGTCACCAAGCACATCGAACCCTATCAGCAGTTCCAGGGACATGCCGCGTTCAAGCCCTGACCATTGTGTCTGGTGTCAGAGAAGGCCTGGGAGCTTTAGGAGAATGGCATCAGACGGTCCCGCTGCTGGCACGGAGAGTTATGACGCAGCGGTCCTGTGGATTTGATTCGGCTCAGGGCAAAAAGCTGTGATATTGAGGAAAGCCGATCCCCTTCGGGGTTTCTGCCTGTATGCGAGGGCTTGGTGTCGGAATGTGGGTGACAGGCTGGGTGCTGCCCCACAGGCCCAAGGCGAGACCACCCACGACCACAGCCACGAGAGCAGCAGCGGGTTTTATTTAAAGTGCAGGGGATTTACAGGAACAAAGAGGGTTCATTCCTGTGGGCATTAAAAAGGGAGACTACACCGTGGGGTGGGTCAGGTGGTATACAGTCACTCATAAAAACAAAGGAGGGTGTCACCGAGAGAAACAGAGAGATGTAACAGAGCACAGGTGCCCCTCAGTCCGATCCAAAGCTCATGGTACCACCAAGAGCCAATACCCGAGAGTGCTTCTTGTACTCTATAAATGAGTAGCTGTGCATGTGCTCAGTTATTTATAGGTGCTTCTGCTGTGTCTAGCCGTAACACTACATGCTGCACTGCTTCTCACAGCTTCTCTCACCATAGGTATGACCTCATTACTTTCTTGTTTTTATCCAGCTTGGCAACATAAGAATTCATCACCTAATGTGATGAGAACACAGATCCGCCCGCTGCCCTACGAGGAGCATTTAATATCTATAATGACAACCCCTTGGTAGACATTACAGCATCATGTCCAGAGACATACACACAGGAAAGTCAGTCATGCTGTTTAGTAAGTGTTATACATACCACAGCATAAATAGCTCAATGCATTGTTTACTGCAGAATGTCTGTAATCCTCTGAAATGGCATCTTACTGACACTGCCTCTGTGATCTGGGATCAATTTACAGGAAGGCAGGTGGGCTTGTTTAGTTAGTACTTTGAGCAGTTTGAGGCACGTCAATGAAGCGGCATGGTGAGTAACATGCCAAAGGTGGCCAACGGCAGACGACACATTACTGCACCACCATTATCAGCCACAAAAGGCTGGTACATTTCTTATAATGTAACTTTATGGAGCTGCCATTTCCCTCATCATGTCACAAATGAATAATGAATCAAAATCTCTCTTCTAGCACTTAACTACAAAGCAAACGTCACACGTACAACTCCCAATCTGTGCATGTGGAACAGAGGACTGTCTTCTCCTGGGGAGATGCACTGAAGGAGGAAAAGACCTGGTCTTTTACCCCATTTTGAATCGGATGTTGCTGTGCATTTGGTAGCTTCCTCCACGGTGAGGATCTCGCCCAGCAAAGCAGCCTGCAGCACTGGGACCAAGCGCCACCCGCGGTCTGTCACATAGCTCAGATAATCAGCCGTCGGTTCCCAGAATTCTATCGCTCCTGTCACCTTCTCCCACGGCCCCTCAAGGCACCCAGCTTTCAAACCACCCCACCCCCAAAAAAATCTCCCCAAGGAATCAGCCTGACGGACACAGCCAGGGTATGTCAGACACCCTTTTCATCGACATAAAATGCAAGGTTTTTAACATCCTCTTAACACACACCCTTCGGATAGTGATCATCAAAAAAGCTCAGAAACACAAAAAGGTTAATTTACTGAAGGCTACAAACACTCCAACTAAAAATGTCTGAATTTCAGTACTAACCCCCCCCCAAAGCATCATGCTCCTATCACGGGGTAGCTTCCCAGGAAGGCAGAGGGACCCCAACTAGGGCTGTGTTATGTCATAACCCACTTACAGCACATTTTCTGTTATTTCAATGAATAGTTTATATAAAATGACCACATGGAAAGCCCTATTTCTTAGCGCATTTTGAATTATATACTCGACAAATAAAAGGTACTTATATTTCATCATTTTTCTCCTTTTAGTTAGAACTGGCAAATTTTCAATTAAGCATGAAACAAAATATTCATGTATAAAATATGAAAAGGTAAATAGAAAGTCATTAGCTGTTGGATTGTGTGCAGTAAAGATCAGGCAGAGTGATAAAGATCAGACAGCGCCATAAAATGTTGTGGAGCGCACGCATTCGCATAACCTAGTGCGCGTGTGGCTGTAGACCGGATATGTGCCACAGATCGCGCAGTGACTTTGCCTTCACGCAAATTTCCAGCCTGCATCTGTGCCATGTAGAAGAATGCAACTCCCAAATGACTTAAAATACTGCAACGAAATGAAAACTAACAAGCATAATACGAAATGCTAGAAGTCACACAATACATATCATCATATCGGACAGCCCTCACCTCCAGTACAGCTCTCACCTCCAGTACCTCCAATCCCCACAGCACTGCTATGAGCCATTCTGCATACAAACCCTTAAGCAAGGTCTTTCAAGGTATTTTCTAATTCTCTGATTTTTATGTGCCAGTGAATTAACATCCTCCTAAAGGTAAAAGGTACAATTCACATGTTAAATGGATCCTTCGAGGTCATGCTTCAATATTGAAAGTATGTAATTCTGTTTAGCTGTCCATCATGAAATCATGAAAAGATTAAATCAGACCACAAGTGCAAACATGATGAAGAGGAATAACACAGTACAGTGCCCCCCACCACCCCCCACCCAGCCAAAACAAACTGCATTTTTATGGCTCACCCCAGCATTGTAAAATCCCGTTCGGCATTGCTTTCAGTTTAGCGCGCCGTCCGTCAGGCTCCTTATAAGGAAGCAGGAGCTGCTTCCCACAGACCCCACAGAGGGTCATGACTTCCCACACTGGGGACAAGGCAGACCTTTCATTAAATACTCATCTGTGGCTTGCAGCCACTGCTTATAACCCCAACATATACATACAGAGACACTACCAAATTTTTCTCATCTGATAACTCACTGCAAACTTACAATTCAAAGCATGGGTCTATTATGTGAAAGACAATCTGTTGTAAAAATACATATGAACAGCTTAACACTACCTCCTATGTACTGTATATTCTTCCCTTCCAGGCACGGAAAAAAATGCAAATTTTCTCCCTTTAACTGTGGCTTGTGGACAGCAAACAAACACAGAACTATTTACTGTAAACAGAGTGCAGAAACAGCTCAGGCCGCTTGCTTGGCTGGCTGATAAGCCGGCTTCATAAAGTGCTTTCAGAAGAAATCGCAAAATGGGTTTATCTTCACACAAGAGGGCAGTCCACCATCCTTACGACTCCCCAAATGCTCAGGCAGGGACTCAGAGACCCCAGCCTCGCAGTGCCATGCTTGTTTATTAGCCTGCATTGTCCTGATGACCGGCGCTTCTTATGGCCAAGCGTGGAAGCCCACACTAAGGACCTGTCATCATAACAAATGCACACCAAACAAGAGGCTACGATCACATAGGAATGTGATAGGTAATGGGGAAGGGGCTGGACACTCCCCTGGAGAGGAGGGCCTGGTCAAGGGTCACAGGCACGTCCCTCCCCACTGGGCTGCTGCGCACTAACCACTTTCCTCCCGGTCCCTCTCCCCGCCCCCAGCACCCAGCTCTGCCTCCCTTAAACTGAGGGACGAGCTCACAGAAGCTTCCAGAGACCCTGCTCAGCCTGCTGGACAGAAGCCGCCCCCATCCCTCCTCCACATTCACAGCGTTAACTGGGAACCTGCGCAGCAGAGCATCGGCACGCCGCACCACCGTGCCAGGTAAGCCTGACACCACACCCGCTCATCCAGTGCTGCTCAGCAAAGAGGGGTTCCCCAGGTGCTGGTGGAAAATACACGATTGGGAGAAACCCCAAGGGTGAATTCAGGAACTCCTCAGGAAGCACCCTGAGATCTACCATTTCATGTTAGTGTGGAGCCAACAAGATGAGAAACATACTTTAGCTTTACCAAAGTTCAGATCTTTAAAATATTTTTGAGAAGCTTAATTTATTATAGTTTAAAACAGGAAAACTTGTTTGTTTAACTAGTCCATGCCAAACAAAAAAATAAAAATAAAATTGTGCTATCAACAAGGGATAAATTAAACTTTTCGTATCTGCCTTCCAACAAGCCATGAAATGCACTTGAGCAGATCTGCAGCATTACAGTGGGAAATTCTGGCTTCAAAAATGCATGAGTTAGAAAACTCCATACAAGGACATCGTACTTAATGTGCCGCCATCTTTGAGCTATAATAAATACTTCCACTTAATAACAGAAGCATGCAGTTCACCCTCTTCAGACAAGATAAGTTGGGTGAAAATAAACTTAGTGTGCAAGATAAACAAAAGGAGAGGATATTAAACAAAAGACCCTAGATGTTGCCACAGACTTTGGGCTTATAACCAGGCAGTCTCTCTCTGAACGTACCTAGCTGTTATCCCACAGATCCCACTCTGTTGGCTATTAAATGCAATATCAAGAAGGAGCAGCAAGACAGGTGGAACCCAGAGGGTTGATGGGATATATGATGGACCTGTGGGGGCCCCTGTTGGCAACCCCTGCACATGCATGACTCTTAGTGAAATTTGCATTTAGGCAAAATGAGCACTGTTCACACAAACAGGTGTTTGTGGACAACAGGAGATTTTTAGCACGCTCAATAATGGCACAGTTGTGTCCCGCCTGGAAACAAACATTCTATCACAGGCTGAAGGCATCACAGACAGCATTCAGTGCTACAGCCCGTAACCTACAAGCATGAGAAAAGATTGGTTCTAGAACTGCCGGTCATTTTCCAATCTATATGACACATCTAAGACTGAAATATGGACTGTGAACAGTGGATAGAAGTATTTATAATCATCATGTAAGGGTGGCTGTCTTGTGGGCCTAGCATGAGAACCAGTGCCAGTCTCGGTTTTACCTGGGCCCCCCTTCAGACCTAGTGTGATACTTTACTGCTCCCACTAAGCACTCCCATGTCATCATGGAAAGTTCTTTGCCAGTCTGGGTGGCCAATGCCAGCTAGAAGCCTCTCCAAAGATGACCTATTCCAGCAGGACCTTCCCCAAGACAACAAGCAGACAGGAAAAGTCACCGAAGTCGCTGGGGAACTCATAGACCAACTGCAAGATTTCCTTCTTAGGTTTGATTCAATTCCTTCTCTGTCTGCATCGGTCAGTTTTACAAGGCCTGGCTAATCTCAGTCCAATTGACTAAATGAACCTCCAAAACCGTCCAGCTAGCTCCCACACAATCTTTAGCTTACAGATTTAAATGCCAACTCTGCTGTGATTAGGTGTTCAGATTGCAGAACAAACTACCTTAATTTGGGCCCACAGGGGTTGTTAGTAGTGTCATCAGTCTCAGACAGGAAAATTAGAGCACTCTCATAAATCCTTGACTGCTGGAATGCTGGCAATGTCTAGTGTTGACACACGGCGCTCGGACTAGGCATCATAACGCTATTATCTCAGGGTCATGTGACCCTGGTGACATGGGCACCAGCGGCAGCTGCGGTGTCAGATTAAGGAATGACTCACCCAGAATGGGACTATGCTCCTCTACAGAAGATTTCTGAAGTGGCTCAAAACAAAACAAACTGCCTCTCAATGTTTGCATAGGTAAATAAATTTCACTAGGGTCTGGGGACACCCGGAACATCATCTGTTATGTACAATAAAGGAAGCAGATCCTTGGCAAGAGTGCAAGTTTATGCAGACTGAGCCAGAACTGGGAGTACCCTTTAGCAAGATGACTGGGTTGGGGAGGTGCAGCAAAAACTGCAGCTTGGGTAACCCATCATTAAATCACAGCAGCAATGCTTAGTCTGTTCAGCACTGACTATGAAAGAGGAAAAAGCTGCATAAATACTCTGCACAAAAAGAATCAAGCATAAGTGAATCAGGGAGCACAAGACTCGGTTCACAGTGACAGCTTCATTATCATGCCATTAAGCTAATCCAGGGACAAGGTGCTAGATATAGCCAGCAATGGGAAATAAGCAGAGATGTTAGTATGTCCTGCAGCCTCTCTATCCATGAACTGCACTCACATGCAGAAAGGAAGAGCCAGGATTGTCAGCGCCTGCTTAGAAGCTTCACTTCGCACTCACTACCCAAAATACAAGCTTCACTGGCAGAGAGGTGGGGCCAGGTTGTAGGAAGTGGGACTTAGTGGACCAGCAGCCTCCAAAGAAATTCCTCCAGTGCAATGACTGGTCCTGACAATCTCCAAGTCTCCACCACGCCTCTGCACACACTGTTGGCAGTTGGGGACATGGGGGGCAGGGAAGGACGGGCCAACTCCCCCTCTCAGTGCAGGAAGGTCATCACTAAGAATAACCAGCAGCGCATAGCTGTGGTGAGGCAGATAGCGGCTGTTGGCGCCTCTGTGGCGCTTTAGTGTTGAATTCCTCAAAGGAGTCATCAAAGCAGGAGGCCCAGGGTGTCAGGCCCTCAAGCATGACAACACACACAAGGGTCTCAGAAGGCTGCACTGTAGCAGAGAGGGCAGCGTGAGGATGTGGATGGAACTCTGCACTGAGCCCTAACCCTGAAAAGCAGACAACCATCTCTGTTCATGCTGCTCTGCTGATGCAATTAAGAGTGATTTATATTACACCAAGTGATATCAGACCAACCACCAAGATCTGTGGTGCCAAACTTGTGTGACATAGCCGTGGAGGACAGACAGAGCGGCATCTAACAGGTCGTATTAATTGTCCCATGTTCTGCAACCTGTGCCGCTGGGGACAATGACACATTTAGCTGTTGTGCTAATCCCACTGGCTACTCTGCTGATAGCTGCTCTTATATGGATCTAATATGGATGAATTGGGAAGAACATTACAAACCACCTGCACCAGCACAGTGCCTACCTGTGAAAATCAAACACACAAAAGCACGGCCAAAACAAGAGCTCACTGATTGTAGGGGAAAAAAACAGCCTCCACTACTGCCAATTTTGTTAAACACACAACAGATCATAAGAACAACCTTCTGGGTGTCATTCACAGCCAAATCCCTCCGTCTGCAATCCTACTATTTCTAGAACAGTATGAACCCAACTGAAAACACCAGGAAGTGAATTGTGAGAGTGGAGACCCCATGCTCATAAAGTAATTCTATCTATTTTGACAAAGCCCTCAAGAACTTGTAGTTCAGGGGCAGGGGTAGGGTTCAAGATTCAAGGTTAAGGGGCTACAATGGTTGATGAATTACTAGCACTAGGGTTGAAGGAAAAGCATCCAGAAAACCCAATGAAGACTGGACTTGGTGACAATAAAAAAAACCTTTTGAAACATCCAACATGTGTGTACATGGTAGTGGAAAAATCTTTCCATGACAATAGAAAGCCGGTCAATATTTTTACAGGAAGAGTATCTGGAGCTGAACAAATATAGCAGCTGGTTCAGAGTGTTTGGATTCTCTCGTGTTTAAAAGAATACCCCACGTTCTGTTTTTTCTCCCTAATTTGTTCACTCATTCCCCTTCTTTGCTGCTCCCTTCCTCAGCTCCTCGAAGTCCCCCTCACCCTCGGGCTCATCGGACCTCCACGGCCATATCCGGCACCACCTTCACAACCACACCCTTCTGCTTCTACCCTCTGCATCCCTCTCTAAACTAACCTCCAGCTTAGTGTACGCTCTTGCATCTTAATCCCCACAACCACCCCCTACCCGCCTCACTGTCCTAAGCATGGAGAAGGTGCAGCACATGACTCGCTCCGCCATCCGGAGGGCATCTACTATGGAGGTGCCCCCCCAGGCTAAGCAGAACCTGCAGGACCTCTTTGTCAACTTCTGCCTCATCCTCATCTGTCTGCTGCTCATCTACGTCATTCTTCTGCTGATGTGAGGGGGTGTGGCTCTGCACCAGCTACCCAATAGGACGACTGACTGTGTGGGGGGGGGAGATGGAGTCAAGTCGTAGCTAGATAAATAAGGGAACTACCATTTTTTCAGAAAATGTGTTTGGGCCAAGTTTGTATTAGAATTTAAAACCTTGCATGGTCCGTCTGCACCCCTGTTAAGCAACCACTAGGACTTTTTTGTTGTCACTTCTGCGGTTTGCTAAGAGGGAGAGGATGGTCCATCTGGGCTTTCCAGCCACCAAAGGATGATGTGTGAAAGTGGGGCTACAATGGTTGAACAAGAGGCCACCGGGGTCGTGCTGCTCTTCACCCCTGCTCTACCCCTACCCCAAGTCCCACCATGATATGTCATGACGGCTTTCATCTGGGAGCTCCTTTCTAGTTCTGCTGTCGCATTGTCCCTGTTCCCACTCAACTGTGTTGAAATAAATGGGGTATGTAATGAAAGCAACAGGAATCCACAGTGTCTAAATGAACCATGCTGTGATGTTAAGCCCTGACCTTCCCTTGGCCTTGAGTAAAACAAGCCAAGCTACTACTGAACAGTAACCATGGCGTCAGCACTAAGATCACCTTGTGCAGGCCTGTTTTGACTGTACACTCTTTCACGTTATATATTTAAAGCTGCGAGATTTAGATTGTTAGCTTTCATAATACTTATTACAGTGACTCAGAATCAGCTATAAAGAAAAACAATCCACATTTGCCAGTATATAAAAAAGCGCCACTGAATTTTGCTTATGCATGGTATGCAATACTCTTAGACTAGTAAGTTGTCCTCATTCCAGTGTTACAAACTTGTACATTAAAAAAGAATCAGTTAATGTCACACTGCACAGAGAGAACAATAATAAAAGTATTAGTCATTTTCTTTAAAATTAACCAATATACAAAGATTTTCAGGCACTTAGTGTTATGAACCAGCACTGTCATGTTCAGAAAACACCCACAGCAAGTTATGACACCCCTATGAATTTGAATTCCAGCACATTCTGCCCTTGAGCGTGGTAACAGCATGACACACAGATGCACACTGGCTAAGCCAGCAGTACAGTGACACATACTAGTGAGGTAAGATATATTGCCACTGTGTATAATGGACAAAGTCCATCGTGAGGGTTTGACTGTAACACTGTATCCTTCGCTATGAACAGCTGTATATCTGCCACTGTAGCTGAAAAGAGGAAGAAGCAGGATGGTGTGACCTCCGCTGCTCACTCCCCATTTCACCAGGCTGAAGCACCCCTCTGACAGCTGGACCCTCGACCGGATCCCTGACAGCCCCACAAAGCTTCCTGTCCAAGTCTGGTACATGCTGCTCAGCAGGCCCACATCCATGGATCTGGTCAACAACCGCGGCCTCAACCTGATCCTCAATTTCCTGCTTATTGTGGTGGTGCTGATTCTCATGCTCATCCTGGTGAAGCTCATGTAACCATGACTCCGCACTCCTGCCAAGCTGCCGCCATGGTGGAATTCACTGGGAGAGGGACCTGAAAATCAGAGTGTGATGCTGGACCTCTTCCACCAGGAGGAGCTAGAGACAATTGCTGCCATGGCCTGTTCATTATCTCCACTGTCTCTCTCAGATTCAGCAAAAGGTCCCTTTTTTGGATCTTTTTTTTCTAAATAGCACCACCAAATGATAACACTAAAGTAATCATGCTCACTATCGGTAGTATTTAAAAATGTAAGCCATACAAGCTAATGATTTTATTAAAAAGTATAAATTCCAGACTCCCAGGTGACATGAAATCCTTGGATTTGTCTCCCTCTAGTGGCAGTAAATCACATCACATTTGTTTCTTTAAAAAAAATTAAAAATCAGTTGTCAACATAGGGGTAAAACCTAATATGACTGGATAGTATCACACCAAGCTGTTTTTTGAAATATTTTTAAAAAGATAAGCCACCAAATATTCAGGACTAATCAACAGGACATGCAGAACGGGTGACGACTAAGATGTTTCCGTATATAAAAGTCAAAACACAAAGTTGCTTTTTTTTATTTTATTTTTTTTTAAAAAGGTTTAAATACTGACTTCTGTTTTACTTTTAAAGTTAAAAGCCATGTGACAATATTTACCAAACGATAAACTTTCTGCATGTTTTAGCAACATCCCTTTAATTTCTTACAAGCCTTGCGTAATTAAAGGGTGATTTGTTTCAGTTACGTAACGTTCTCATACCAGTGGTCTATGTGCACATGCTGTGAGATGTTGCTGATTCAGAGGTAGTTTGTATACCATTCTGTGAAAAAGCTTATGAGAAAAAATCCAACTCAGACCATCTTAAATGTGTGACTAGACCCTGTATCCTCCACCATGAACAGCTGTATATCTGCCACTGTAGCCGAAGAGGGAGAAGCAGGATGGTGTGACCTCCGCTGCTCACTCCCCATTTCACCAGGCTGAAGCACCCCTCTGACAGCTGGACCATCGCCTGCCGGATTTGTCTCCCCACAAAGCTTCTTGTCTGAGTCTGGTACACGCTGCTCAGCAGGCCCACATCCATGGGTCTGGTAGTGGTAGTACAGGTACAAGGAAGATGTCCCAACAAAACCCATCGATAAATCAGGAGTGCCTCTTACACAGCGGTAAATGTGTGCCCAGCCACTGACTCCCCCAGCTGCTTTTAACACACTTAATACATAAAAGGCACAAGCTATTTCTTGTTTCCTCGCACTCCATCATTGATCTGTTACATCTTGTGAAACATTTGAAGTAATAAAATGCTAGTCCCTACATTTAGTATCTGCTGTCATATTTGTACTAGAAGCAGTGGCTTAGAGGTGGTACAATCTACAAAAAAAAAATTCACAGTAGTTTCTCTCTCCATTTTCTATAACTGCACAGGGAGACCCATTACAGAGTTCTCACACACACACACACACACACGCACACACACACACACACACACACACACACACACACACACACACACACACACACACACGAAGCACACACTTCAGGCACTGTAGACAACAAAACCACATGTTTTTTTGACAGAAAGCCCAAGTTTAAGGAAACTCATGCATACACAAGCACATTGTTTCAGAAGTTGAATTTAAATCACAAGGGATTTGCTAACTGAAGGAATGACCACTAGTTACTAGGGCTGAACGATTTATCGATTTCAAATCGAAATCGCTGAGATTTAGGACATACATTATATACACTGCTCAAAAAAAATTAAAGGAACACTTTTTAATCGGAGTATAGCATCGAGTCAATTTAACTTTTAGGATATTGATCTAGTCCGTTAAGTAGCAATGGGGGTTGTTAATCGGTTTCAGCTGCTTTGGTGTTAAAGAAGTTAACAACAGGTGCACTAGAGGGGCAACAATGAGACGACCCCCAAAACAGGAATGGTTTAACAGGTGGAGGCCACTGACATTTTTCCCTCCTCATCTTTTCTGACAGTTTTTTTCACTAATTTTGCATTTGACTAGTCAGTGTCACTACTGGTAGCATGAGGTGACACCTGGACCCTACAGAGGTTGCACAGGTAGTCCAACTCCTCTAGGATGGTGCATCAATATGTGCCATTGTCAGAAGGTTTACTGTGTCTCCCAGCCCAGTCTCAAGGCCATGGAGGACATTCCAGGAGACTCTAGGAGAGATGGACAGGGCCGTAGAAGGTCCTTAACCCATAAGTAGGACCAGTATCTGCTCCTTTGTGCAAGGAGGAACAGGAAGAGCACTGCCAGAGCTCTACAGAATGACCTCCAGCAGGCCACTGGTGTGCATGTCTCTGAGCAAACAATCAGAAACAGACTTCATGAGGGTGGCCGGAGGGCCCGACCTCCACTGCCCAGGACCGTGGAGCTCGATGGGCATTTGCCATAGAATACCAGAATTGGCAGGTCCACCACTGGCGCCCTGTGCTTTTCACAGATGAGAGCAGGTTTACCCTGAGCACATGTGACAGAAGTGAAAGGGTCTGGAGAAGAACATTATGCTGCCTGTGACATTGTTCAGCAAGACAATTTTGGTGGTGGGTCAGTGATGGTCTGGGGTGGCATATCCATGGAGGGACACACAGACCTCCACAGGCTAGACAACGACACCTTGACTGCCATCAGGTATCAGGATGAAATCCTTGGACCCATTGTCAGACCCTACGCTGGTGCAGTGGGTCCTGGGTTCCTCCTGGTGCACGACAATGCCCGGCCTCATGTGGCGAGAGTATGCAGGCAGTTCCTGGAGGATGAAGGAATGGATACCGTTGACTGGCCCCCATGCTCGCCTGACCTAAATCCAATGGAACACCTCTGGGACATTATGTTTCAGTCCATCCGACGACACCAGGTTGCACCTCAGACTGTCCAGGAGCTCAGTGATGCCCTGGCTCAGATCTGGGAGGAGATCCCCCAGCACACCATCTGTCGTCTCATTAGGAGCATACCCCGACATTATCAGGCATGCCTACAAGCACGTGGGGGCCATACAAACTACTGCGTACGATTTTGAGTTACTGCAATGAAATTTCGGCAAAATGGACCAGCCTACCGGATAATTTTTTTCACTTTGATTTTTGGGGTGTCTTTGAATTCAGCCCTCTGTAGGTTTATCATTTTCATTTCCATCAAACGATGTGGCATCCTTTCGTTCCTAACACATTACCCAGTCCATATCAGTATAGATATACAGCATGATTTTTTCCCCCATTGAGATCTGATGTGTTTTCAATGTGTTCCTTTAATTTTTTTGAGCAGTGCTCCCTATGTGATAGTTATGCTCACCAATCAGAAGTGGCCCGAGACGACGGAGTATATGCCCACAAACAGCAAACACGTGAAACCCAAAGAAAATGCTGCATTCGCGGTGCAGAAAAAATACTGATTCCGCTACTGAGTTGTAAGTGAATTGCCTTCCTATTTCATCGTCCGAGATTGTTTCAGAAAGGTCCTATCATCAATAAAACTGGCAATTTTTAAACACCAGCAGCGACATACTTCAACGTATCACACCTTTTGTTTTTGTTAATGGGAAATCGCATTAGCATAACCCATCAAAACAACGAGACAGTCAGTAATCCCCACAGCAGCGGAGTCTGTGACCCCCAGAAAAGCCATAGAACCCATAATACAGTCGTGTTTATGTCATTTGTTTTTGTGGTCATTGATTTAAGTATTGATTTCCGTAGATTAATCTTGTGAAATTAATATTAATCCCACAACAGTAATAAAATAAAAGCCTCGCTTTAACATAAATACTAAAAGAACAGATCGCTTTAATCGCAATTACAGTTGGGTATAGGCACGGTCTTATTTAGAAAAGACATTAAAAAGTGACGCATGTAATGTTTTCTCATTCGCTTTATATTTGTCAGAGCAACAAGGCAAAGGAATGATAAGCCGCTTCAATCGAAAACTGCATTTCATTTCAAAAGGCCAACTTTGCTCAGCTGCCTGGAGTGAGTTTGTGTTTGAGACGAGTCTGCACATACATTTACGTGGATGTAAGAGTTTTATTACCATGTAAATATTCTGTAGGGTTTGCAAACTGCCCTAATGTTTTTAATGCAGCTAATTCTAAGTTCATGATGGAATAATTTAGATTTGCCATAAGATTTCTTGCGTGAGAGTCTGAAAGCGTGTTACCCAAACCCGTGAGAGTTTGCAACCCTGAACAGATACATTTTTTGTTTCCCCTGAATTGATTTGTATAGAGAATAACCATATACAGTTGTTAAAAAGCGGAAACTTTGACCAACATGAAATCACCAATAAACTACGTCTATTTATTCGACATGTTATAAAATGCATACTACGTTCAAAATTTTTCCAGCTTTACGATTTCAGAACAGCCACTCTGTTATGAACATTGCAGCTTTTTGGTTGAGAATGTTAGGATTTGCTGCTGTTAACACTTAATTTTCAAATTAGCGCAAACAAAAGGGCTGCATACACCGGAGGAGTCCTTGCTTGTTCATTGGCGTGGGAAATGTGGTTCTAGTGTTATTAGGGGACTGAGCTGTTTGCAAGTTCGCTATTGTTTTTGCTGCAATTGTATTGATTATTACTTTATTTAACTTAACACACCACATCTTTAAATTCTCATCCTTGCATTAGAATATAGACCAGTTCATATTTTGACGGTATCTCACGTGGTAATGCTGCGTCATATGTTTTAAATTTATGGACTATGGAATATTGAACTGAAGATTGGCATATAAAAAAAATATATCGTATGAAATCGTAATTGCAATGTCTGTCAGAAAAATCGTGATTAGATATTTTCCCCAAATCGTCCAGCCCTACTAGTTACCTACTGTATATTGCTTTTATATATTGAAGACCACCCATATCCACGAGTGAAATGTTGCAAGACCTATTGCGGTTGTCTGAAGCCATAGAAAACACTGAATCATGTGCCCTATATATTGCGTGCTTTTTATGTATGTACATATGGTAAACTAATTAAATTACGCACAGTAAGAAATTACTGAAACTAAATACAATAATAAAGTATATTGTACATTATTGCACGGTATTGTATCCTGTAGTCTTTCAGGATGCGCTTTACCGGCTTTTGTGCTCTATCACTTGGTGGAGCATAAAAATTGTTCCAATGACATGTGTTTTATTGTGTTATATTTTCAATCACATTAGTCTTTAACTTTCAAACAAATAAGGGAGACAATGAGAATAAAGCCACAGGAGATGTCACTTAAGTTATTGTTATTATCTGGGCTTAACCGGTAGAGCTTATGGTGAAATGTGATTTGAGCCGGTAGAGCGCACATTAAAGTGGCACCCTGCACACTATCAAATAAAAGGATTTCTGACGTTTTAGCCTAATTCTTATGAGACAGAGCATGAAAAAATATGTATCAAGGGTTGACTAAACGATGAAAATCATGCTTTTTATACATTTTTATACAAATAGCGTGGCAACAAATGCGATCGCTGAGAACGCTAGAGACAGACTGGATGAAAGTTCTGGGGAAGCGTGGATGCGGGAATGAAGGGAGATGTACCGAGCACGACTGGGCTGAAGGATTTCATCATGTTACAGCCTGTGCTCCTTTGGCGAGTGGTTTGAAACTTAGGAACCATCTATTTCTGGAATTTCCCTTTTTTCAGACCATTGTAAACTGTGCAGTATATCCCCTACCATTATATTAGGGGGTGCCCCGCCCCCCCAACGGCACCTCCCGCCCCCCCCTTGAAAGTCAAGTTAATTTAATTTTCTATATAGTGCCAGATCACAACAGAAGTCATTTAAGGTTACCTTTCCTATAGAACAGGTCTATACATTGTCCTTTTATTAAGCAAACTAAATAGCCTTATGTTATTTATCTTATTTACATAACAGCTTGTCGTTTTTGTCTCTAAACGGTCGCGCGTTTACAATTCTCCTGTGCTCTCTGTATCGCACATGGCGAAGTTCTGCCCCAATGCGTGTGGAAAAACACGTACATGCACACACAGGTGAGCACACTCCCCCAGCGGACAGAGAGCGCGCGTCGGAAAATAATAAAAATGATTTATTATTTCAAAAATAATAAATACGTTTCACAATGGGATTTTCTGCTTTAAATTATCACAATTTTAAGCTATCAGCTAACACTTTTAAAGCCTAACAGTTAATGTATTTGCAGGTCAAGACAAACATCCGCAATAGGCTGCAAGGAGACCATCTTGCAGCCTGCCTGCGGATCATAATAAATGGGCCAGATGTTTCTCACTTCCCATATCAAGAGGCTCTAGAAATGTTCTTCCAGAAGCCCAGAAAGA